ATAACAGGTATTTCATGCAATGTAGTCAATGCTTGAAATAAATACGTATTTCCTGGTTATTTTATTTATGTGCTAGAATTACTGTCTGGACAGAAGATTTACGTGAGCTCTAAATCTCAACTGTATATTGTAACGGTTGTCGCACTCTTCAAACCAAAACTTTTTATTACAAACAACAAAATTTAGTAGGGTGGTGGGTCAGACCTACTCGTGCCAACTGAAAGACACTCTGCCCACCAGTAAATGTCACAGGCATGCTTTTGCTGCAGACAATTGGCATCATAACTGTACTTGATTTTGTCTTGTATATGTTTTTAAGTGTACTTGTGTATGTTTCCACCACGCATAGTCATCGGAACACCTATCAAACCAATGAGGCGACATTTTGATAATAGTAATTGAATAAGATGTTAGAAGTGCTAATATATTTCTAATGTGTTTTTAATTCATAATTAATAACAGAGTGGAAAAATTAGATAAATCAGCAAGTATTTACTATGATCGTGTCATATTCGTTGATATATTTTTCATAATAGAAACCATTATTGTGCCTTCATATCCGTTTCATTTTCGATAATTTATTAATAATTATTTTAAATACTAGCTGACCCGGCAGACTTCGTAGTGCCTCAATCGATAAATAAAAGACATAAACTTAAAACAAACAAAAAGAATCCATCCGACGGGGACACATCAAAGGGAAATCTAAATTATTATTTTTATTTAATTCCGAGCATTTTCATATTTATCTACCTTTCAAACCTTCTCTGGACTTCCACAAACAATTCAAGACTAAAACTAGCCAAATCGGTCCAGCCGTTCTCAAGTTTTATCGAGACTAACGAACAGCAATTCATTTATATACTTATTTATGTAAACAACGTTGACGTCGGAATGCGATATATCGTCGACCGGGTTATTATTCCACTGTACGTCCGGTAACGTACACCACAGCCGCTAACGCAACGATCCATTCTCCTCATGCCAGCGTGCTAGAGTTGTCATGCGGGGCAGCCTCGACCCTCCCAAGTCGTAACTTGTTCATTACTGGAAGGAGACTGTCTCCTCACAGGGGCCGGAGCTAGACGAGTGACGAGTGCCTAGAGGGAAGAATAGCTCTTCAGTTCTTCCGCGAGATGGTGGACTCGCTAGTGCCAAGGTTCTACTAGTGGTAGAACCTCTTGTGAGTCCGCACGAGTAGGTACCACCACCCCGCCAATTTCTGCCGTGAAGCAGTAACACGTTTCGGTTTGAAGGGTGGGGCAGCCGTTGTAACTATACTGAGACCTTAGAACTTATGTCTTAAGGTGTGTGACGCATTTACGTTGTAGATGTCTATGGGCTCCAGTAACGACCTTACCACCAGGTGGGCTGTAAGCTCGTCCACACATCTAAGCAATAAAAAAAAGCCTCGTAGCCACGACGGTCAGCTACGACAAGTCTTGTCCTCTCATCGCGTCGAAGACACGGCAAGGCTGAGCTAAAGGGGACAGTACACGAGCATGTACAGTACTACGGCTGCCCCATCTTTGGACCAAAACATAACTGCTATACGGCAGAAATAAGGAGGGTCGTGGTACCTACCTGTGCGGGCTCACGAGTTTCCATATCACCACTAAATTTACTCTAAAAAGTTGACTTAAGCTGGAATTTCTCAAACTAAAGTGAGAATAGCTAAACCCGAGTAGCAAATGTTATTATGATTAATAATATCTAGTTATAAAGAAAATCTAAATAATCTGTAATAAATTTACTCTTGTATAGTTATTATTATCTGTGATGTCGCAATCGTGGAAGAATGAACATCTATTAATGGCGTAAATACCTATATTATACAGTTATATTACGTAAAGTAATTAAAAACGACATTGTATTTTTCATCTGTTGATCATCAGGCTTGGCAACGTATGCATTTTATTTTTATTTTCATCGAAAATTAAAGTTAATATGTAAATTGAAAATTCAAATGTATCATGCACAGATTCCCTAAAGAATCGCATATTGTTTGAAATGTCAAAAACGTTTTTATTGCTCATTCTCCACAGAAAAAAAAACCTGTTTTTATCTTGAAACTATTTTAATTTTTTTTTTTATGAAGAAATATAAATTACTCCACCGAAAATAGCATACCAGATAGGTAACGGAACAAATTTTTCCAATTATTTACTCTGTTTGTTTCGACTAAAATCAAGGTAACTGAGTGATTTTCGTCAAAGCTGTACAGTTAATTTGAAAACAATTCGACTTTACGCTGAGTAAAAAAACCTTATTTGAATTTCAGTCATTTAGAAGGTGAAAAATATATCAAAAATAATACGTAATCTACTTAATCTTAATAATCGTATTCTTTAAAAACACATCTCATTTTGACAGGTACTTATGGCAAGCACAAGTTTATTTAAATAAATCACAAGTATTCGGCACACATTTGCTCTCGAACTATTTATTGAACAATTCAAAACGTTTTAAGTACTGGGTAAATCCGTGTAATTTACGTTTGAATTCAATTAAAACACTACAAAATTCTTAATAGCTTCATCCAACCGGATTTCGAAAACAAAAAAACAATGTTTATTGTTCCGTTGCGCTTAAAATTTTCCTCGTACGTACGTATATAGACGTCTTGGTAAATAACCTTTTCCAGATTCGCGGAATACATACATGCCTTCAATTAATTATCAATTGCCGTTTCTGATTACGAGGCTGGATAATGATAGATCGTCGTGCAACTGTAATCAGCTGTTAGTTGATATGATATTACCCATTTTTTATGTTGTTTCAGTGACGAGATAATAATGATAAATATTGTCAGATGCCTGATGCGCTGTTAATGGTTTTCAGATAGTAATTTCTTCGGATGAATAATAATTAATTAAATTAAACTAGAACTTTGTTTTACTACTACTGATACTTAAATGGTTTTTCAAATTTAATTTTTAAATTATCTAATTATTTGATGATTAAAATTATTTTATAATAAAGTACACTGGAGGAGATTTTTTATTGGTGGTAGGACCTCTTGTGAGTCCGCGCGGGTAGGTACCTTCCTATTTCTCCCCTGAAGCAGCAATGCGTTTCGGTTTGAAGGGTGGCGCAGCCGTTATAACTATACTTGAGACCTTAGAACTTAAATCTCAAGGTGGGTGGCGCATTTACGTCGTAGATAGGCTCCTGTAACCACTTAACACCAGGTGGGCTGTGAGCTCGTCCGCCTATCTGAGTAATAAAAAATAAAAAAGAATAACCTCACCCAGAAGGATACTGGAGACCGGGCAAAGTGGAGGACTTTAAGTAGGAAAGCGGACCTGGCATTAGACAGAAAAACGCTAGGACGAAGAAGAAGAAGAGGAATGTACACTAACAAACGGCGTTCAACATTATATTCATAATGAAACTAAATGATGAAATACAAATTTCGATCAAAGCGGGCACGGCAACTGTGACTGAAAACATCTGAGTCAAAATTAACGTTTTGTTTCGTCCGCCAAAATTGAGCATTCAATATATGACAATAAGAGCTTTTTTGCCTAGTCTGTGTGTTTGATCAGCTCAGTCAGAGTTGCGGATGCTCTTTTCCTGCTCCTGGGAAATTAGAGGGAAGATAATTACTGCAAAAAAAATCTTCAATTATCGCTATATCTTAAAACAATAACTCCTATTTCTACTTTGTTAGAATGGAAATAAGAATAAACTGCGTGGATGTAAAATAGTGGAAAACCGTGATTGTCTTGATTGATTCTGAGTTGATCTCTTATGACGAATATTCTGGACTGCGATTTACTGTGTGGCTCAAAACATGACCTTGCTTCAAGAAAATGTATATTTCTGCCGGGAAATAACGGTGGGTTCCGCTTTGAAGGCTGACACAGCCGTCCTGTATGTAATGCAGTTAAGACTTCTATCTCCCATCCAAAGGTAGATAAGTAAATTTCCGTCACCGATATAAAATACGACTATGTGTCTAAAAATTCATTCTAATTTTTTTTTTAATTATAATATTTTAAATGAATCCTCTACATCACGCAATATTTTTTTTATGTGATAAGTACCAGAAAAAAGAATACAAAACAAGAATACCCAGATACAAGATAATACTTATGGTACTTATGGTATGATACTTTAAAATGTATATATTTATTAAACCTTATTAAACAGTTAGTATTTAAAAAATAATTGATGGCGGGTCGTGGCGATGTTCTTGACACAATCCACTAGTTACTAGGGCTTCGGAGTGAGAAACTTGCTCGTGATACACGCCGTATCAAGAATGACTGCTTTTTAAATCAGACTCTTAATCCACCTGGATAACAAGACTTTCTTAAGGCGTTACTGAAAATTATTCACCATCAAACCGTGCACCAACAAAATTACCGGAACAATAATTAAATCAACATTTCACACGGAGGTAGTCTAGTGGGCCACGTCTCTATGATTGTACTTACTATTAAGTATATTTTAATAATTATAACTAAATGGGTCGTCGATCGTATTGGACGTCGCGAGTATTCGTTAATGGTCCGTGAACTGTTTGTTTAAATTAATTGTGAAAATAAATTACTTAGTTTAAAAAACAGTTGTTCCAAATAAGAATTGATGTGGTTTCTTTGTTATAAATTTAGATCCTTATCAAACAAACTAGGATATATTCGTCAAAACAAAAGCTTCTTGTCCTTGTAGAGATAAAAACTAGCATAATCTCACGAACACAAGAAGCATGTATCTTTAAACTTATTTTATCCATACCCGCTGAGATATCCGGTTTTGTAGGAATGACCGGAGCTCATGTACGGAGTCATCTTTGCTAGCGAATTGCTACACTGACCACGATCGTGGCCGTCCAACTCAATAACTATAATTCGACATCGGTAATAACGCGTGAAATTGATATCTAAAATCGTAAACAATGTGAAGAATCACTCAGTAACGTCATCGTGGGACCGATTCGTTCTGTGAACGTCCTGAAGACTGGTTCATATATGGGCGGTTGGTGACGTCGCGCCCGTTTGGAAAACACATCGTATAAATAGATCGACTACGCGAGTCCTGCGGCAGTTGTCAAAATGGGACACGGTGGAGTGGTGGTGAGCTTCTTGGCGCTGGCGGCTGTGGCGTCAGCGTCTATTGGTGATGGTGATAACTCCTTGGATGGAGGCGAGCGAGTAGTTCTCGTAGCGCCCGTACTGGCGCCCCCGAGGGATTCTAGAACTCATGTAACGGACCGAGCGAGACAGTTCCCCATACTAGTGCTCCTGGCTCAACCACAAATTTCAGACCACCGTCCTGAACCCTCAGCCAAATCTTTGAAGGGACATCTTGAACCTATTTACGTGCAGGTAAATATTATCTTTCAATATGTGTGTGGCTTGTTTGATAAATATAACTTGTTATTCTTGCATTTTGGCACTGGTCAAATAATTTTTTTGTGAAATAGATTTAATAATCATATCTCTACTTATTTATTTATAAGAAAAATTCTAATTTTAGTGTATTATTTTCTAAGTTTTTTGCGGGTTTAATAAAAATATTTTTACATGCTAAATTTTAGCCGTCCGTGATCACGAAAACGGGAATGTTCGATCAGCGCAATAATTTATTGAAAATAATAAATACGAGGTTAAGCCATAAAATAGTTTTGAGTTACTTAATAATTATTATGATACCGTAATCTACTTATTGGTTGCATCAAAAACCTTAAAACTTATTGTAAAATAAACCCACTAGATAGTTTTTGCCAAAATTTAAACTCACTAAAAATTAATTGCTACAAGAAGTAAATTCTACGTAAAAATATATTTGAATACAAAATTATCCTATTCCTGTTTTTGTCGTAGTTTTCGTTTGTTTTTCTTTTTAACTTCATCTTTTATATAATATCTATATATTAATACGTGAAGCAAAAACTTTGTATCCCTTTTTACGAAAATTGCGTGGACGGAGGAGTATGAAATTTCCCACACTTATAGAGAATATAATGAAGAAGTGCACAATGCTAATATTTATTTAAAATAATGCATAAAAGATACATTAAATCAATAAAGAAAACATTACACACACTACCATGTATTTGACACAAACACTAATGCACACTATTTGTTTAATGTCAAACTTTTCTTATTGCTTAAAGTCTGTGCTCAAATTGAGAAAGAGATTAAATATTGTTTCTTTATTAATATTTGTCTAAAGTGTATTTTTGGCGAAGTCTATGATTATAGAAGTATAATAGACTTTGAAAATAGAATCATAATAGTGTACAAAGTTATAATTTCAATTAATTATAGTCGAATTTCGACTACCGGGGGGCTACTAGTTTTAAAAAAAACAGTAGTAGTTTGATAGGTACTTCATACTTTTAGACGTAATTATCCTATTTAAAATTTATTTTTTGCATTAGAAAGTCAAGATGTAGATGTATGTAATTATATAAGACTTTTAGGTCCGCAGCTATCAGTATTCAAGGAATTAAAAAGAGAAATAATACAAGACTTATTTGGAGAAGCAGTAGGAGACAAGAGTTGCATATAGCTTGAGACCATTAAAAATACCAATAGAATAGAACTATGCGGTTACTTAAACGAAACAAAAAAATATAGTTACATATTTTTGTTCTCACAAAAACTTGTTTTCGCTTTACTCCTTTTTGTTTTAAAGCTCGAAGCGTAATTAAAAACAGTGAACAAAAAGTGTGTTCATCGATGTGTGTATCAACTGACAGGTATCTCTATGAATTTAAAGAGCACTAGACTTTGATAAATCCAAAGATATCAACAATGTGATTACACTTCCTTCTTCAAATTACTTCTTGTCTGGACTATTATTAGTAATCAGTCATTTTTTAGTTTTAGGTTTTTCTTTTATTAATGTAAAGTTTGAAAGTTGAAGAATTTCAAGTGAAATTCACAGCTTCTTCAAATAAATCTAAGGGAAGCGAATGGTTACAAATTTTAATAAAATACATTTTTCATTATACGTCTAATAATAATTGAGTACCTTAAAAAATATTATTGTGATTTTCAAATATTATAGAATGGGAATGAGTCGTAATAAGTTCGATATGTTCTTATTAGAACTTTGCTTACAGAAACTTGAAGACCAAGCGAATAACAAGGGAACTCTCAACAGGCAGAAGCGGACTTTGTTCTTTGGACTCAAAGGTTTTTATTTATTTATTATTTAGATAGTTCATCGCTGATCCGATTAAATTAGGGCGACATTGGACTCCAGTGTCAATGTCGCTGTCCACTGCGCAGTGGACAGGAAGGAATGGAGGAACATAGACCAAACAAAAGTACTTCCTAAAGGTCACGACCCTCAGCACTGAGGAACACGACGCAAGGAGGGAGATAATTCATCGATCTTCCGGTCCACCGGCTTACTGGTGGTAGGACCTCGTGTGAGTCCCCACGGGCAGGTACCACCACCCCGCCTATTTCTGCCGTGAAGCAGTAATGCGTTTCGGTTTGAAGGGTGGGGCAGCCACTGTAACTATACTGAGACCTTAGACCTTATATCTCAAGGTGGGTGGCGCATTTACGTTGTAGATGTCTACGGGCTCGAGTAACCTCGAGTAACCAGTAAAAAAAATAAAATAAAAAGAATTAGTGTTGCGCGGTTAAATGCAAGGGTAAGCCGGAACCTATTGACATCACATTGTGAATGCCGTCACCCAACTCGAGTTATATGTCTCAGTAGTTTAATTATTCTGCAAATATTATTTATTTGGCATTTCGAGATTTAGATTGCACTATGTTACATTTCCATCGTAAACATTAGTTACCTAAGTACGTATTGCATTAGAAGAATTAGTGCCTGCCTGGGGAATTTAAACGCCGGCATTGTCGAATCGCTCGATATGGTCCGGCGTCGTATCCCCTGCGCTACGACGACTTCTGTTATGGCATAGGTGGCGCTTATAGGTATCATTACCATCACAAGTACTTTGGTCATGGCCAGCAGGAACCAACAAAAACCATCATGGTCAAAGTCGTAAAGGAATGCCAAATGAGGACGATCTCAAAATTACAATAATACAATGATAATAAATTCATGAAGGGTTTCGATTGATTGATGACGTTTGTTTTTTGAATGTGCACCTTGCTTTAGCTTTTTCGCACTTCTTTTGTTACAATAAATAGAGTTACTCATAGACTTTTGCTCCAGGTTACAGAAAAGGCCACCACGGATACGACAGGGGCGGTGGATATGGCGGGGGCGGTGGATATGGCGGGGGCGGTGGTTATGGCGGGGGCGGTGGTTATNGACACGGCGGCGGATACGGCGGTAATCAAGGCAATTATGGATACCCTACAGGGTGTGGGGGCGGTTGCGGTGGCGGACAAGGTTCCGCTATAGCCATTGCTACTGCCAACGGGTAATTTACCATATTTGCTGTATATTTACAAAATAAAAAGTTAATACATCGCCTTCTTCGTGTAGAAATCAGATTATCTTATGATAGAGTAATAGTATCGGACCGATGTCCTCAAGCTATTATAAATATTTAACTTTTAACCCTTTTAACTATTTAATATCTTGATTTAAATATCCAAGGCCTTAAATTCCCAATGATGAACGGAATTAGCTTCCTGATTCTTCTTTAAACTGTTAAAAGTGAAATTATAACACCGTCTTATTTTATAGAAAATCATCTACCAACCGAAAACCTAATTGTCTTATTATGTTAAAAAAGCAACGAAATTTTTGTTTGATGGGAACAAAAAATCTTACCTAATAATTAGAGTCAAAGCGAAACATCTTACCTATTAATTTACAAAAATAATTTGTTTCATCACTTAAATTCAAGATAGCAGCAAAAAGACTACAGATTAGTTTGACCCAAGTCTGACATTACGAAAAGTGCATTGCTCTAATGAAAATGATTTTATCCGTACGCGGACCCTAGCAAGACGTCATTTAAATTCACACTTTATTGTGAAATGCATAAATGTGAAATTTCTTCGCTGACCAAACAGGTTTTAATGTAAAAACTATGAATAATTCAATCTGATTTCTCAAAATATATCTGTATTAAATATGTATCTTATGTAAATAATAAATTATAATACTTTCCGAATTTTAGTATTTAAATTATTCGCAATAAAGTTTATTTAATAAATGTATTTTGCAGAGATTTTTTACTGGTAGTAGTAGGACCTCTTGTGAGTCAACACGGGTAGGACCACCACCCTGCCTATTTCTGCCGTGAAGCAGTAATGCATTTCGGTTTGAAGGGTGGGGCAGCCGTATGTACGTCAGTTTCTAGTACACACAACACTGGAAATCCTAACTTTCCAATTTTTTAATATTCTCATACAATTTAGTCATACAAGAAAAAAATTCGTATCTGAATTGACAGATATTTTGCAATAACGTTGTTTTTAACCATTCTCTCGTATTTCTTTCTAAACGTACCAATCTTGATGATCCTTTTTTAAAGCTTTTTTGAAAGCTTGTACTTCTCATGTAGTGCCTATATTATGTAGGTACTTTTGGTATCCAAATTAAACGAATTAAGAATCACTCTTTTGACAAGTACTTTGAAGTTTTTATGCAAGAATTAAAACAAATATAGGTATTTTTCACGATTTTATCGGACTGCTATTTGCTTTCAATAACACCGTAATTCAAGCGCTATACCCACTTTTAAACATTCAATTAGTTGTGGAATCTGATTTTGCATACCTACTTTAGTTTATTCTTTGAAATTTTTCTTGATGTTGAGCTGGTCTCCGTAATTCCACGACGAAAGGCCTCTTCAGCATAGCGATTTAATTGTAGACCTCATCTTGGTTGTCACGTAATATACATACATTATTTTTTTTCCAGGTAAAAACGTTAACTTGGCCAGATCTAAGTGACAGTTTCCTGTGACTTTGCGAATTATTATTGGAATCGGTAATCGGACGTTCAACGCTATACGCCAAAATAGGTTTAAATGTTATTTTTCCAAATTTATAACTAACTACTACATAATATAAAGTTAGGGCAGTAAAATATGTATGTATTACCAAAAATATATATACTTTATTTGCATGTATGACTAAAGATGTTTTAGGTACGTCAAATCTGTATACGTATGATTACAATAATACTAAGCATTCTTTTTTTAAGAAATAACGTTAAATATATGCGTATATTGTACAACATAGGTATTGTTCATCTAAGTCCTTAGCCGATATCAAATAAAGTTTTTTTAAAAAAAAAACGAGATGTTTGTTTTATTTTATGACATAAATTTCAAAAACTGACTAATTGTGATTTTCTTGATATTCAGTATAAAAATTGATTCCCTTGCTTACATTCATCATCATCATCATCATCATTATCCTGCCCTTCTCCCAGTTACCTGGGGTCGGCGCAACATGTTTTCTCCTTCCATACTCTTCTATCATATACCATTTCTTCGCTCACTCCCCTCTTACCCTCTTTCACGCAAGCCATCCATTTCTTCTTAGGTCTACCTCTTCCTCTGTATCCTTCCACATTCATAGTTAACATTTTCTTACCAACCTCATTTTCATTTCGTCTCATCACATGTCCATACCATCCCAAACGCGCACTTCTCAGCTTCTCTGTCACAGGTGCCACTTTCAGACTTCCTCTAACATTGTAACCGTATAATCAAAACTTGATAATTTAGAATGCACAGATTGAAGGTACGAGGCGAAATGACAAAAGGTTCCAAAAAACAAAACTCGCAGGTGGAGAAGAAAGTGATAAATAATAATGATTTCTAAAACAATTGTCCTGGAGACCTCATTGTTAAATTTCAAGGTTGGTGACGGCATTCATTCTGTGGACTAGAACTGCAGTTAGATACCAATTAGAACTACAGCTAGGTACCAATTAACTCCGGAAAGGCCGTGACGTCATACGTACGTCTACGTAACAAAACTAAGTTCACTGATTACGCCTTTGCGTCTCGCTAGAGCAAGCCTTCAGTTAAGTGCAACCGGCGTCATTGCTCGTAAACATTATTTGATAATATATCTGCTAACTTAACTATCATTACAAATATTTGTAACAATATGTATAAGTACTTCAATATATATTCCTGAAAATTCCTATTTATTCAAATTTCGAAGATGATACACTAAATTCCACCTGCATTCTCGCTTTTTTTCTATCTATCTGCCAGTAGCCTCAAAGGGCTGGCTTCACCGTGACAGGAGGGTGAACTCACTCAACCTAAAAGAACCTTTGCACAGTAACATTCAAAATGACGACTTTGACACCAACTGCTGCACCCGGAATTCGGTGAATGCACTGTCCGAAAAAACCGAGATCCAGATCCAAAAAACTGATTTTCTCTACATCTAACATGAAGTTTGTGTGCGAGAGAGAAGGCCCATTCATTAGGTACAGTTTTTAAATGTGTTAGAAAGAATAAAACATAATAGTAGAATATATGTTATGAGTCCAAACTCCGGACTATTCATACCCGGAATTCGGCGACTCAACAGTTGACGCATATCTTGTTGAACCCGGAATTCGGCGATTGCACTGTCCAAAGGAGAATATGTTAGGACAGTGTTTCACTGAATCTACCACCGGTTCGGGATCACGACCGATTGAGAAGATCCGACGAAAAACTTAATGGGTTGTGTTTTGTGGATTAAGTTGTACGTCCGACTCTTCTCTCGTCGAATCAGAGCGATGACCGCTGATTGAAATATCTAAAAGTACAATTCTCGCCAAAATTACCCAAGTTATACGACGCGCGTCTTTATTTAGTGATAAACAGGTTCAGATTATAGGATCGAATACAAATATAAAATTCGGCTAAATTTCATTAGCCTTAAATTGATCAGATTTTTTCCCTGTTTTTAAAGTACCACAAACACACATACAAGTCTACAAACAATGTACCCATCTATAGTAATATATAAATCTACAGTGGTTTTTACGGATGTTCCGTTATAACTACTGAACCATGCGTCTGATTGACTTGAAACTTGGTATCCATGTAGAAAATACATGTACTTAGTGGATAGGCTAATATTTATATTAGTATTGAACTCCCTACGCCAGTTGTTGTTTTATCATTTTGTCAGTGTGGCTAGTAAAAAAACCTTTCAGAGGCAAAAAAATTCTTAACGAATTTATATTTATATGAAATACCACAGGTCTAGAGCTAAGAAGTAGTCCAATAAGATCGAAATCTCGAACAACGGTTATCCTACTCTTCTAATCGAAATAGACAAACGCTGCGCTGCAGAAATAACTAGATTAGTAGACCCGGACCGAGTTCACAATAGGCCCTGAGGTTTTAAGTACCTTTTACATTTAATTTTATGACGCTTCTTTGTACTATTTAGATAATTGCTAAGAGAAAACATAGAGGCACCTGACTTTTTAAATTTAGAAGGAAATAGTTTTATAATCAAATCTGCTGCTGCTCGATTTCGGAACGTCAAAGTCTCAACGAGTGACATCCGCTATGACACTTTTTCCCTTTCCATGAAAGAACCTTATGTTTGAAATCGGAACATAGTTATTTTGAGGATAACGAAATAGCCAATTAATTGGCAATGAATGGCGCTGAATTAGCTTCAGTTGGTCGAAACTATCCGGAGTATCCATTGAGAGTAAATAACACTGGGAATAAAGCCCCCCTGAAAAAAAACAATAACAGGTAGTTACAACCCAAAAAACTCTCAGCTTGTTTCACAATAAGCTAATAATCTTATTAAGAGCCCCAAAGAGACGCTGTAGTTTGTGAAAACACAAGCTAGGCCTCGTAACTGGTTCAGTCAGTATTTTTTTAATATTTTTTATTGTTAGTTGGGTGGACGAGCTCACAGCCCACCTGGTGTTAAGTGGTTACTGGAGCCCATAGACATCCACAACGTAAATACGCCACCCACCTTGAGATATAAGTTCTAAGGTCTCAAGTATAGTTACAACGGCTGCCCTTCAAACCGAAACGCATTACTGCTTCACGGCAGAAATAGGCAGGACGGTGGTACCCAACCGCGCGGACTCACAAGAGGTACTATCACCAGTAATTACGCAAATTATAATTTTGCGGGTTTGATTTTTATTACACGATGTTATTCCTTCACCGTGGAAGTCAATCGTGAACATTTGTTGAGTACGTATTTCATTAGAAAAATTGGTACCCGCCTAAGATTCGAACACCGATGCATCGCTCAACACGAATGCACCGGACGTCTTATCCGTTAGGCCACGACTTCTTAGGAATAAGAAACCTATCTTCGCATTCCAGATAAACAAAATATATTCACTCCTTAAAGAACGCCTTCTCGACGCCAAAAGTAGTGATCAGTGAGTGGTGAATTCACTCCATTAAATTTAGCAAAACAATTACCCTTTGATAGCAGCAAATCATGAAGAGAACAATATGCGATTGCCTCAGTTATTTTATTTTATACTATATTATATATATATATATTATTATATTCAATCTCACCATGAACTATTTACTAATTAAATTTATCGAAACATTTTCCTTCACGGCACATCAAATGTTGACGCATAGGCTCCAATGAATATCGAGTATTAACAATAAATATAGTTGTTTATCAAAGGAGAGGTTATAATTTATATCAATTTCGCAGTACGATCGGGTTATCAGCATGTTTAAAGTCTAGAAATTTGACGTCACAAGCTGTAACAAAATAAATTTAATTACCTACATTACGTTAAGGAAACAATTTGTAAGGATACTATATACTTGCAATTAAGAATTTATAGAGATCGGCTCCGAAAACGAAAATGGAAAACGAAACTTTGTAGTCTATAAAGAATTTAAGCATAAATACTCGTGATTTTAGTAACTTCATAACAATTTCTTAAGTTCTGACCGACTCGGTGGAATCCATCGTGGTTAGCGATCGAATATTTGTTAGGTTATGATACTCACATTGAGCAAACATTCATATGACGAACAGGTTTTTTTGTTTTTTAACTGGATTTATCTATATAACTATATTTATGTGATATGCATGTATGTCAGTCTCTGGTTCCTATGATACCAGGAATCCTGGTATGGAGACAGATGACCATGTGTGATTTTTTCTCAATTATTTGATTATTTCATGAATCCGTCACGCAAGAGGTGAATGTCTCCTACGTTCAATTTAAAAACACAAGTACTCAAACTCTATTGTTATTTTTTTAGTTATCACATCTATAATCACCAAAACTCCTGGCCACCTAGGGAGATTAAAATGCAATATTATCTAATTATTTCAAACTATTTGTTGCTTGTTATAACCACTTTTTTTTTGTCAGGAGAAAATCGCCGGACTTCCGCCCTCCACTGGGGATAGAGGGCGGGGCATGTCGGAGTCGAACTGACTAAAACCTCCTGTCGCTCAACAACCCGCGTCCGATCCTCGCATGAGTCAGAACTCATGAAAAGGCAAAGGGGAGAAGTAAAGTGCTTAGTGCGGAGTATATCTCTGCACATCTCTCCCATCACCCTCCGCCTCGGGATTCCGGACCGGCAGTCGTCGGCGCCACGACCACCAGTCCTCTCAGTTGGCAGGCTACCCGAAGCCCGCCTAGATGGCGCCGGTTAGAGTGATTTGTCCTACGGAATATCCCACTGAGTGAGAACCAGCGTGGATCGAGGATAGCCGACCTTCCATCACCCGGATGCTCATGCGTAAAACGCGGGCAGAGCAGCTTGCACGTCGTTTTCTTGGGCCCCCCTCGCCTGTCCCCAGACTGACATGTGAGGGGGACCCGAAACAATTAGAGAACCAGGGCTTGAGCGACATCCGCCTCCCTGGCCCCCGCTCGACGGCGGCGGGCTTGTGCGTCTCTAACGCGCCCCGCCGCCTCTTTCTGCGAGATGGTGCACTCGCAGAAGTTGACATCGCCTTCCAGGAATCGTCGCCGCCGAGCATCGATGCCACAACACTCGGCAACGACAAGTCGTATCTTATTTTTGCGACGAGGTCACGGCGCCATCCCTCCCATGCGGGACAGACGACGAGCATATACTCCGCTGTGTCCAAGTCGCAACCACAATGGTGGTACTCTGC